CAAGTCTAAGGTGAAGATGATTCGTGAGAGACTTAAGGCGGCCCAGGATAGACAGAAAAGTTATGCCGACAAGCGCCGAAGAGCCTTGGAGTTTAAGGTGGGAGATGAAGTATTTTTGAAAGTTTCACCTTGGAAGGGGATCATCCGATTTCAGAGCCGAGGAAAACTTAACCCACGATACATAGGGCCATTCGTGGTTCTTGAGAGGATTGGGGCCGTGGCATACCGATTACAGTTGACTCCAGAATTGGAGAAGACACATAACGTATTCCATGTGTCTATGCTTAAGAAGTATATGCCGGATCCATCTCATGTATTAGAAAAACCACCCGTGGAAATACGGGAAGACTTGAATTATGCCGTGCAACCGGTGAAGATACTTGACAGGCAAGTCAAAAAATTGAGAAGCAAGAAAGTTCCAATGGTTAAAGTCCTTTGGAAAAGTGACCGAGTCGAAGAGGAAACTTGGGAAACGGAAGCTTTGATGAAAGAGCAATACGCATTTTTGTTTGAATAAGCACTGTGAATTTCGGGGACGAAATTCCCGTTAAGGGGGGTGAACTTGTAACAACGACCCCGAGCATATTTACTTTTAGTAAATTATGTAATAAACCTTGAAAGATGATTTATGAATTTGCGTAATGGTAAATTTTTATTATTTCTTTTACGTGAATAGTAAATTGCATGTGGGGTCCACAGCGGGAACGGGGACCGCCCGATAATTCCTGAACCACACATTATATTCATCTTGGTCTAGATAATACGTATATGGTGGTGGATATTTTATTTAGGCCATAAGAAAGGCATGGAGTTGACCGGTTGGTCAAACGGGGCCCAATTACCGATATTGGCAATTTGACGGATAACAGCCCGAAATGAGTTTCGGAGACTCCTAAATTAATGTTGGGGAATGTACATCTATCCTAAAGGCTCATAAGTATTAGGGACGCGTGATATATTTTATTTGGCCCGATAAAATAAAATATGATTAAAACAGTCCGAGAAATACAACTTTCGGGGCCGATTATACATACCGGAACTTAATGGGATGACCTCCCACATGAGTGGGGGCCACCCCACGTTTTTATGTATCACAAATGACTAAGTAAGATCTGGGGGGACAAGCCAAAATGGCTTGTGCGGACAAGGAGAAGGGAGGGGGTTTCCTAGAGACAAAACTTACATCTCCATGACCCCATCCTTTAAATTTATGTATGGGAGTGATTGAATGGAAATGCCTTCCTATCCATTGCACCACTCGAGTGAACCACAAGAGAGAGAGCTATTGAGATAGACTTTCACAAGCATCATCCCTGGAGGAAGAAAGAAGCTAGGAAAATTCGCAAGAAATAGTTGAGTTCAAGGTAAGAACTCCACAACTATTAGTTAACTAGTTTATTGTTGTATAATTTTTAAGAAATCATATGGTGGATTAAATCATGAGTTCTACACGTTTAAAAGTGTAGGATATTGATATAAAGTGGTGGTAATTAACTTAGGAGGGTTGGCCAATCGATAGGAGTCGAAACCGCCGGAAACCACCACTTCAAAGGAGCTAGTCGTAGTTGCAGACCACGAAAGCCACCCGGCTTTCGTGAAAGCCGCCCGGATTTTGCCCAGCAGTTCAGTTTTACACCTTCAATCGGCCTAGAACGGGGATTGATCGAGGGGCTTAGCAAAGGCAACTATTTCAGCACTTCATAAGGTGAGGATGGCTGACTATATTGCTTATAATTAGTGAGTTAATTTCACGAGATTACCGAAGGTAATTAAATGTGTTTTTTATGGATTATTAATGATTAATAATGCCTAAAAATGAAAAGACTAAATGTCTAAAGAAAAAGGAGCAGGATATACAAATTTAAGAGTAAATTGTGTATGTTCATGTGTTGTGAGTATGTTGACTTGAATGTGGAATTTATTATGAAACATATGTTGAAATATACTTTTTCTCCATATTGGAATATATGAGTGATTAAAAGTGATATTTTGAATATTGAGATAAATGATATTTTCAAAGGAAAATCAGTTGGAATTGTCTATATGACTATGAGTTGAGAACTTGGTTTGTTGATATTAATTTGACTAGTATTAAGATACTAGTTGGACATTAAAATGAAATGTTGTTAAGATTGATCCTAAGGTTGGATTGTGAAATGTTATGCCTTAAGTAGTCTTAAGAGATGCTTTAAGGTAGGAAAGTATGAACTTTAAGTTATACTAGGGGTAGGCCTTAAGGGATACCCAAGATAATGTAAATATTAAATTGATCCTAAGTATAGGATTGGCCTACGGGTGTGTTCGGTAATCCTTGTGGATAGCCGGTTGAATTATGGAAATAGTAAGGACCATGGCCCTTCCCGACTCTAGAGAGCGAGGTTGGATAGCATGGACTTACATCGTGATCACGGGTTAGGGTGGAATCCGAATCGGAGACCTAACTAGGTTCCGGTAGCGGTAACACATAAGATAGGACCCCGAAGGGCCTTACCTTCCTACGGGATGATGGGTATGAGTCCAGGGGCAGGATGTTGGAGTCCGAACCGGGAGCCTCATGAGGTCTCGGACAGCGGTAGCAAGTCCCGTAGAAATAATAGGACCCAAGGGTTGGGTTGTGCAAATGATAAATGAAAAGGGATATATAAGAAGGGCCGTGTGCCGACAGATAAATAAATTTACTTATTATAAAGATAATAAGTGGGAAATATAAATTATTATTTATATTATGATATCACCCTATTTTGAGGGTCTTGGAAATTAAAACGTTGATTATACTTAGTATAGTTGCTATTGTACTTGTCAAATATTTCCAAGTACTGACCTCCCCTTCACGGGGGAGGCCACCTCACAGTTTCAGGTAGAACTTGAAGGTTGCTACCGGCGCCCGTTGCTTCGGGGATATTCAAGGAGAAGACGTGGTTCGTGCTTCTTCTGTTTCCTGTTTCAAAATAATTATAACAATGCTCATGGATATTATTTTTGAACAATTACTTTGGGGGCTTGTATGCCTAGTTATGCCAAGTGTGGCTTGAACAATTGTATTAATGTTTCCGCTGTTTTAAATGATGTTTTACATTATGTTTGTTATGGATGTACTATATGTGAATGACATTCATGACGCCTTGTATAGTATGGATGGATTGGACTACGGTTGACTATTCGTACTGTACGGCGGGTTGTTGACGTGTCCGGCTAGGTCCGGGGCGTGACAGTAACGAAGGGAGGAAGACGAGGAACCAACGGTAAACAGAACCGGAGCTCCAGGGGCGCTGCAAGATTACCACACATACCTACCTTGACATCTCCAGCGAAGGAGGGGCGCTGGCACCGGCTCGGCCCGGCCTGGTTCCGCCGCTGGGGGTGGGCAAAAATACCGGGAAATCGATATACCGCACTTACCGTACCGGAAAATATCGGAAAATACCGAAATATTGGTATACCGTCATTTTCGGTATGATATCATACCGTATGGTAAAGGTAAATTTTTTCACATACCGCGGTATACTGATACAAACCGTACTGAATCTCTACCGAACAATTACTTTTAATTCTAAAATATTGTAAAAATCCATTACAATTTTGATGCCCGAAATTAATACTTAGGTTGGTTACAAATACCAACATACAAAAATAAAGGACCAATTTCCCAAACTCACAATAATATTCTAGGGTTCTACTGCCTAACATTCAAACAAACTAACCCCAATGACTAATGAGTAATGTACTAGTATCCAGAAACAAGTATATCTTGTTTCAAAAGCTTGTGAGTCGCAATGGCTGAGCCGATGAGTAGCCGATGAGTGAAGAAGGATACACTTATGTGACGAGTGTATCTACATAGGGATTCCGCGAGTCGAGTCACACAACTTTGTCCAAAAGTCTTATTCAAATATTTTTTAAAATTATAAAAAGGACTAAATACATAATATGATATTTAGGAATATGCCCTCGAACTTACATAAAAAGTGCAAATAAGCCCTTTTATAGGAGTAGGCTTGGACTCGGGTTGGGCCCGGGACTGGGCCGGGCCTAGGCCCGGTCGGGCCGCCGGTTTGTATCTCATGGACCCGGGACCGGACCGAGGGTTGGACGGGTCCAGTTCGGGCCGGGCCACCCGCCCGGGTCACGGGTCAGGCCACCCGTCGGGCCGGGTCGGGCCGGTTAAACTAATTTTTTTATATATAATTTATACTTTATAGTTTTATACAAGTATTAAAAACAAACTTCAAGTGCATTTATGTAAATGAAATAGGAACAACATTTGAAAATTAAGAGAAACATACAATATGAAATATATTTTGTAAATTGTAATCAATCGGAACTTCCCGCACCTCCCGATCATTTGACTTTGTCACATGACTTAATATGCTTCATTGTCATCCTGTATCCGTCTGAAACCCCCATGCTACATTTTTTCCCGCACCATTTGCAAGTTGCGTACCACATCCCGGTCCTCGGGTCCTTCTACTTATCAAAATTATACCGTATAACGGCATATTGACTTTCCATCTTAAAAATGGTAAATATAATAATTCTACAATAGATGGAGATGAAGATGGAGAATGGAGATTAGAGATTGGATGTTGGAGAAGATGTGTATAAAAATGTTAGAAAATAAGAGTGTTTATAGAATTTTTTTGTACCCCACCCCCACCCCAAACGGCTCTATGCCTCTATTGATTCAAATTTCAAACAACCAAACTACCAAAGTGGCTATATAGCCGTTTGGGGCTTTTGATTTCAATTTTTTTTTGTATGTTTTAGTTTCAATTTTATGAATTCAGTAAAAAATGCTATATATACAAAAATGAACGTATATTCATTTGAAATATGAACTACAAGTTTACAAGTTACAATTGAGAATTGAAGGTAAAATTAAAACATGAAATACTAATCAATCATTCAATCGGAATCTTCGACATAGGTAGAGACACCCTCGATTGTAGATTCGTCCATAAAGTGTTGGGATAGGGTGATGTCAATTTCTTGAGCTCTACGGGCCGCTTTCAACCAATCGTGGTAGCATATAAGCATCTCAAGAGATTCTGCGCTCAACCTCGTTCTACATTGCGTTAGGACATTGTCGGTCGAACTAAATTCTTGTTCCACGGCAACTGTTGAAACCGGCATTGATAGCACTTGCTTAGCCATCTTTGCTAAAACCGAGAACATTCTTTCTTTTCTCTTCCACCAGTTTAGTACGTCAAAATCATCATCTTCTTCAAAATCAACATCATATGTTAAATACAAAGAAATCTCATTAATTGTGCTTTGTTGCGTAGCGGGAGTTGATTTCGTTTTTTTAATAAGATTGGCAAATATAGATTTGAAATTTGATTTTCCTTTAGATGATGTTTGTGTCGGGGGAGGGGGCACATTGCTATATTGTGCATGAAACTCATTAAATAATGCATAAAATATATCACCAACCTCGTTGTATTCTTTTTTCAGATCAATTGGGTTGTCCCCATACATTGGCAATGGACCAAAAAAACAGCATAATACTAATTCAAACATTCTTCTAAAGAACCAAGTCTAAAACGATGATCGAGAACAAATGCAATACCATAAATATGCGGAATATGTGAATAATATTTTAAAAATTTTTCCTTCATAAAACTAGCAAAATAACTCACATAATCAGCATTCTCAAAATTTGAAAAAGCACCGACGAGATTAACAGCTTCACGAATAAATTGGTTTGAGGTAGTTTTATAAACATGACTAAAAGTTTCAGTTGCATTATTAAAATATATCAAAGCATTACAAATTTTTTCACAGGTGTCGATCTCAGCCGAGTTGATAATATACTTATCATATTGTTTCATAAAAGCAGGAAAATGTTGTTTATATCTAAGAAGAACTCCAATTAACTTATAGGTACTATTCCAACGAATAGACAAATCTTTAGGAAAAACCACATATTTCTCACCTCTTTCTATCAAATAATCATGCCATTTTTTTCTATGTTGTCCATTACCCCAAATACGTCTAATCCTCCCTTGACTACCACCAAAGATGCTCTCAACGCTTTTAGACCATCTTGCATACATAAATTTAGAACATGACATGCACATCGTCCACCGGGTGTTTGGACTTAAGATGTCTTGTGGCGGATCCGTATCCACCGGAAATTCCCAAGCTATAGTTTTTCTTGCACCAATTGCAAGTTGCGGTCCAATTCCCGGTGTTCGGGTCCTTCCACTTAGAAAAATTATTAGCCATTTGTTCAGATTTACTTTTTTTCGTACCGGTTTGGGATGAGGCATGCTCGTCGGTGTCGTGGCTGCCGCCACCCTCCTCCTCCTCGTCGTCGTGGCTCTCCGGAATTATGCAACGATCATTAAATTCACGGAAAGCAAGAACACGTTTATGCATATGTCAATCATTATCAATATAATGTACAGTCAGACCTAAATAATGTAAATTATGATAAGTATCCTCCCATATGTCAGAACATACAGTAACACGTCCATCAAAGTTTGCAAAATAATTTTGTAACCTTACCTTTTCCGCACCATAAAGCCTTGAAATTTCTTTCTTAACCGTTTTACGACTATAACCTCTATATTGTGGATTTAAACAAGTTTGTGCATAATCAGGAAAAGCAAGACTTTCAGAAAATAAATAAGGCAAATTTTCTTCAAACAAGTAAGTTAGCCATACCAGTCAAATTTTGTGCATCATTGTATGAGAAATTACCAAAAACTTGTTGGTTATTTGCAAACTTCGATATTTGAGTTTACTTCCCCGTTCCGCCGCCTAATTTTGCATACTCCACCGGGTGTTTGGACTTAGGATGTCTTGTGGCGGATCCGTATCCGCCGGAAATCTCCAAGCTATAGTTTTTCTTGCACCAATTGCAAGTTGCGGTCCAATTCCCGATGTTCGGGTCCTTCCACTTAGAAAAATTATTAGCCATTTGTTCAGATTTACTTTTTTTCGTACCGGTTTGGGATGAGGCAGGCTCGTCAGCATCGTGGCTGCCGCCATCCTCCATTCCTCCTCCTCCTCGTCGTGGCTCTCCGGAATTACTTCCTCCACATCGTCGTCCTCGAGCTCTTCTTCGTCAATGGTCCTCGGTTGGTTTTGGAAAAAAAACGGGAATTATGTCGATGCAATTCTTGTTCTAGTTGTTCGTCGGTCATCGCATCCCCATTCCTCCTTGTGTAACCCGTATCAAAATCGTCTCGACTTTGAGATGAAGAGCCGATGTGTGATTTACCTTTGCGGGATCTCTTCCTCGCAAGCTCTTTCGTTCGGTTGCGCTCGAGGTTACCCATATCAACCGAATATCTAGGACGATCCATCTAAAAAATGTAACAAATATTAAATTGCAACAAATATTTTAATAAAAATATATTAATAAAAAATTGGAGTTATAGCAAATTAGTATTTTAAAGTTTACTTTAATCAAATTAACTAGTGAATTAACTAGTTTTGTGTACAACCTGTTTTTTTACTAACAATGAAATTAATATACTTAACTTTAACTATAATGAGAATTAAGTAATTAACTAGTTTTTTAAACTAGAGTCAAATGTAGCAATTAATAAAAAATTGTAATAAAGTAATTATTAACTATTAATCTAACTATTAATTCGAGTTATAGCAAATTAGTATTTTAAAGTTTACTTTAATTAAACTAACTAGTGAATTAACTAGTTTTGTGTACAGCCTATTTTTTTTTACTAACAATGAAATTAATACACTTTAACTTTAATTATTATGAGAATTAACTAGTTTTTTGTACAACCTATTTTTTTTTTACTAACAATCAAATTATTATAGTTTAACTTTAACTATTATGAGAATCAACTAGTTTTTTTTTTCAAGTAACGTTAATACAAAATTAAACAAGTGTAAATAATAGAATGATTTCGTACCTCTTTCGGACTTTCGGTCTTTGGGATTGGGAGTAATAGAATGACTTCAAATTAATTAGATATAATTCCAACTATATTAATAGATATAATAAATGTATAAGTAATATATAATTAGATAAGAAATATAAGTAATATAATAATATTATAATGTATGTATTTATAAATTATAATTTATAAGTAGATAATTAATATAAAGTAGATATATAAATATAATATATTGGAGAATAAGAGAATTAGAGAGTTAAGAATAGGATTTAGGAAGAATTGGAGAAGAGATGAAAAAATGTTTTAGATTAGAAGTATTTATAGGTTTTTTTACCCCACCCCCACCCCCCAACCCCCCACCCCCCGCCAAACCCCCCCGGACCCCCCCTGCAGCCCACCCAACGGCTATATATCCATTTGGGTTGTCCCCAGCCCACCCCCAACGGCTAGTTTGGCCCAAAAGTCCAAAACAAAAAAATTGAATTTGTGACCGTTGGACTCGGACCCAGGCCCGACCCGGCCGGGCCGGGTCAACTATTTCTGGAACCGAGCCCGCCCCGCCCATCCCCCCGGTTCGGGTCTACACCCGGTCCCGGACCGCCAGACCGGGCCGGGCCGGGTCACGGGCCGGGTGGCCCGAACCGAATCCACCCCTATATAGGAGGCTCTATCCGGCCGTCGTCATTTGGGGCAGCGGTTCCCGGTAGAATGTTTTGATGAAACTTTTTGAGCATCTTATTCATTACGTCTAGTTTACGCATACCAAATGTCAACTAAAAATTCAATCGGGAAGGCAGTCAAATGAATTTTTGAAGAAAATTGTGCAGTTAGACAATGCAGTATATTTCAGAAAATCATTTGACTACCTTCTATGTTGAATTTTTAGCTTAAATTTGGTATGGATAAACTAGACCTAATGAAGAAGATGCTCAAAAATAATCATCAAAAAATTCAACCAGAAACCGCCTCAAATGGCGATGGCCAGACAGAGCTTCCCATAAAAGGGCTGATTTGCACTTTTTATGTAAGTTCGAGAGCTTATTTGATAGTTCTTCCATGATTTTATATCCATGTTGTTTGAATAGTTTTATTTATTTATGTTGAAGATTACTATTGATTTAATTATATCTATATTGTTCAAGTTATTTTAGGAGAATGTGTTATTTTTAATATGTGACATGTTGAACTGCTTAAATATACTAATAATAATTATTGTTCAATATTGATATGACATCAATAGATTATTAATTGTATTTTGTAACACTTTAATAATGGATAAAATATGTCGCTAGTAACACCGATTTAATATATTTCTTTAGTTTATAATGATTTATTGTATTTGGAGACATGAATGGTAATTTACCGATACCATACCATTACCGGACTGAAACTTCAGTATACCAAAATGCGGTATACCAAAACGTCGATAAGGTAACGATATATAAATTTTGTATACTGTACCGAACCACCTCTACTAGTGAGTGATTGTGGATTCAACTCCCACTAGTGATATATTCTTTTTACCAAGTAAAACACACCAAAAATTGATGACATGAAATGACTAACAAATCCATGGTGTGGCAATTTGGTGACATGAACAAAAAACACTAGTTTGGGAAATAAGTTTAAAAGTATCTTAGTTTGGAAAATAAGTTGTACAACTACAATAGTTTGGGACAGAGGTTGTAGGTTCAACTCCCACTAGGGATGGACTCGGTTCGGGCCTTGAACCGGCCGGGCCTCGGTTCAAGGTATGGGAGGCCCGGAACCGGCCCGGGTAACCCCTGGGTCCGGGCCGGGCCGGGCCTCGAGTATTTTTTTTTTTGGGCTTTTCCTAGTTAACCCCCACCCCTCCCCCTCACCCCCAAACCAACCCTAACCACCTCAAATGGCCCAAAATACCCAGCCCAACCCAAAAACTCAAAAAAAATTCAAAAAAAAATTAAAATTGGCCCGGCCCGGGGCCGAACCGGCCGGGCCGGTTCACCTTTTGAAGGGCCCGAGCCCGAACCGAGAATCCACCGGGCCGGGTGGCCCAAACCGGCCAACCAACCGGTTCACCGGGCCAGTCCGGGCCCGCACAGTGGCGGGCCGGTCCGGTTCCGGGCCGGTTGGCCCGGCCCGAGTCCACCCCTAACTCCCACTAGTGATATATTCTTTTTACCAAGTAAAACACACCCAAATTTGATGACATGTAATGACTAGCAATTATATAGCATTGTAACGTGACAGTTTGGGTGACGTGGACAAAAATTACTCTAGTTTGGAAAATATGTTCTTAGATTGGAAAAAAAGTTTTAGAACTACCTAGTTTGGGAGAAAAATCCCAAAAGTAATGTAAGCAACAAAGAAAGATGCATTTCAATCCAAAAAGCGCATGATAAAAAATCCAACATCTGTTAGTTCTATAGCGCCAATCAATCACAATCAGACAAGATGAAAACTAAGAAGACCAACTTGAATGCAACTTTTTCTCAACTTTGCTGCTTCTGCATGGGCGATAGATCCTTTCCCACCCTCCCTCCCTATAGACCCATGAACACTCTCAATTCATCTTTACCTCTGCATAAAAAGTGTGCGAGATTAGAGAAAACTCCGGCCCAGTGTTGTATTCTTAATTTGACTTAGACAATGAGTTTAAGAAATTGGTAATTATATGGTTCAAAGTTTATGTAAAAAGAAACGATAGAATATAAACGGATAAACCACATCTATTTTCCTTAAAAAGGAAAAGGGAGATTGTTTGAGGACAACCAAAAGAGAAAGTAAAAGGATAAAACGTACAACGCAAAGTACAACACATTCTTTCCAAAAAAAATAACCAAACAACCTATAAAAGGACTAGGTGTTGGCCTTGTTTGTTTTTTGGCGTTTGTTGACCAACATGCTGGAAATACCAGCGTTTGGGCTAGTTCCAGGTCCTTTAACATAGTTCATGGTATCATTCATTTGGATAAAACGAATTGCAATAAAGTCAGAATCAAACGGAATAAAGTCAAAGAGATATCACTTATTTATTGTGTTAGATAAACAAATTGCATCTTAAACTCAAAGGCTCCCACTTTCCCTTGAACTTGGTGGAGCAGTGAAATCCATAAACGCAGCATATAAAATTACAACCAAAAGTAGAAAAGGTGCGACTGCTGAACTAGCAGAAAATGTGTACCTGATAGGAAATGAAGGCAGTAGAAGTTCAAGTGCATTCATCACAACGGAACCCACACCATCTTCACACATAGTCCTCGAAGGTTCTGGAAACAGTGGAAAAAAAACTTCAGGGAATTAAACAAAAATTCAAAACAAAAAATGTGAAGCTCAACATAGGTACACGACTGCAAATCTCAGAAACCTGAATAAACAAAATAGTATGCATGTTCTTGCAGAAGAATGTACTATGCATATATTCTACTATTTTAGAATAGTGCTCTAAATAGAGAAATGCAAAGGCACCACAGTGATTATTTATTATACGATAGTATTACTTAAGTGATTATTTGCTATTATGTTTATATAATTATAATAACAAACTAAGCCTTGCACCTTATTCTGCAACGGGTTTACGCAATCAGCAAAAACAATTCAACTTCATGATATGCTATTTCAAAGCGTCTGATCTACAAACTGGAGAGGATAATCAAATTTTATTCTATTTCAGAATACCCATGGAGTAGTTTAGACTTTAGACCTGATGCATTAGCATGAGGGGCGATCTCTAATTTGTCCAATCCATTCAACACATGTCCAACAAATGAATAAGCAAACATGCTTGTTTCATCACACGCTTCTTGGATATTGAGGTATGCATTCTCCAGTCGTGCTTTTGATTCTTCCAATCCATCATCATATTTTTCTGACCCTCCATTACAAGATGAAATTTTGGAAAGTCCATGAGCGCTTGACAACCTTGAATTATGAGAATGAACTTCATACCCATTTCCACAATCCTGTTGGAGGCTAATATTTTTGTTAGGAGAAAAATAAAATGGGGTCAACATTTCAGCGGGACTTGAAGAGGCTGGAGATTTGGAATTATCAACCGGGATGGTCTCACCAACACTTTCTGATTGGCAATTTATACCATCAGTGTTATTATTACTATAATATCTAATATGACCTGAGATGGAGTCTTGAAACTCAGAGCCACCTCCTGCTCCATCATAGCAACACTCTTCAACATAATCATCATCCATGTATGCATCAGCAAAATCTTTGTCAAATTTATTTTCTGGAAGAAAATCCCACACTATCTGCTTAGCCAGAGCACTCAAATTCAGCAACAGGTGTACTTCTTCCTGTACCTTCTCAGCTGAAAAGGTTCTGCAGGTTAGCATGGGCATAGACAAGGCTCCTAAATATGCAAATTTTGGGTGAGCAGAATAAGCAATCTATTCAAATACGGAGTAAAATTTTTTACGAAAAAAATTGCGCAAAGGAAAAATGTTCATTACCACATTTAGGATGAGACCAGGCCAGGGCTCTGGTCGCCTGCCTACTAGTATTGCCAGTGCAGGATGCGCTTTTCTTCTCAGATATATCAATAATAAATCTGACTGTTTCTAGCAAACATTCTGGAATAGTGTCCATATTGCAGCACTCTAAAAGATATGCAGTCAACAAATTCTTCAGTACGGTACGCACACAACTTTTTTCTGATGCTTTTTCTTTAAACTCTGGGTCGAGCATAAGTATGCATTTTTTCATATCTATGGGGCTCACTTTCCTTTTAGCTTTGACCAATTGAATAGCACTCATAATATCAGTTCGTAGCTTCTCTATCTCAGGTGAAACATTAGAGAAAACATTTCTCAATTCTGGTTTTAACATCAAATATGCAACTGATAGAGCTTTTGTCAAGGGTCTTGGTGGTTCGTCTCCATCCCCAAATCTTTGCAACAATTTCATTGATTTTTTCCTTATTTGTCTAATCAAGCTCTCAAGAGTCCTGCCAGGCTTTTTGTGTTGTGATTTTGGAGTGTATCCCTTGACCTCTCTGAGATTTCGATGCATTGCATCTAGTGTGGCAAAAGAGAGTTCCTCAAGCCTAGGAAGGACGTCGATAATTGCAGTACGGAGTGATTGGGTTGGATTTGAAAGAGCCGGCTCATTTAACAAAAAATATTGAGGATCTGTAAGGAGTTGCTTGACTTGCTTCAATTTGATTCGGCTTTGGTCATCACGAGATTCAAAAAGTCTAGGTATAAACTCTTGGATTATATTTTTCATCTTCTTTTTTGTTTTGGGGAAGTGAACAGAGCCATTTGTCAAAATCTCGGTAAGAGAGAATAGCCCTTTGTTGGTCATTTCATCTAGCAAGGAGATGCTATACTTTATCATATCCTTATCAGGTGAGTCAAAGAGTCGTATTTCTTCTTCATCCACATAATTTTTCCGTTCAGTATCTTTACGCATTCCGAGTGTCTCTTCAACAAATGTTTTGATGCTCTCATAACTTAACTGCAACCAAACAAAAGAAGCATCAGATAGAAATATCTGTATAGAACATCACACTAGGAGTATTTGAAGAAAGAAAATATCTTTTAAAAAGTAACTTGCTGATGTATACAGAATCATCAATACAATGACATTAGTGAAATTGGCCGGACAATTACATTAGCTCTGTGCAAAGAAAATTACCAAATTATGAAAACCTTACATCATCTTCTCTAAGCACTGATTCAGGAACAAACCTACATGCAAAAAAACAAGGCTGGAATTAAAATTACTGGTGATTTCACTCAATTGAGTTACAAATAGTACTAAGAAACCAGCTACAAATTGCAATGCCACCAACTTGCAACATTTATAATGAATTATACAGATCTCAATTACATGCACAATACAAAATATTGGGAAAGAAATAAAGGGCCACTTGGTTAATAGACAACTCAGAGAAATGCGCCCTTCATGCGTAGAATAATAATGACATGAAGTGATAGAGAACCAAGAAGGTTCTTCTAGAATAACACTCCATTTGGCAACACCCTCAGGTAACACTTCTAATGTTATTTATCAATTTTCTGATGGGAGATAGGAAAGCAAAAGGAAGTGAGGAAAAGTGAAGTAGTTATAGACTCATTCAAGCTCCTCTTTTCTCGCTTATTCAAATGATTTTTTTTCCTGCCTTTGTTATAGTTGTGCATCATTGCATTAAGATATTTTGTATATTGGGTAAAATATCAATTCCTGATCTGTTAAAGCAAATATGATATACCTTTTAACTATTCCATTCTCTGCCCCCCTCTCCACTGTACAAAAAGGATGCCCATTTAAAAAAACGATCAAAGGACAGTTTTGAAAAGGCTAATTCCTTGGGTGGGTTGAGAGGTTTTCCTTCTAGCCAGTGGTTTGGCGGCCTGGGCTTCAACTAACATATTTTTTGGGTTCTTTTTTGTGAAACATGATCAAGGATGGTTACTCATTTACCCACCGCTCCAATATATTGCGCATCATATCTAAATAATTTTAACAATAAATCTGTACTTCATTGTGAGTGGTAGCGTCATTTTTGTCTAGTGATTTGTTCAGAAACTTATAGGATAAAACAATTTTGATTATAATTATAAAAAACAAGATATCATTTATACCAAAAATAGAGTGATTATTATTTTTAACTATTGATATAGAGTAATAATTATTCTACCAATAAGTCTCGAACAGTTTTGGTTATCTATGTGCATCAGAATACATAACATTTATGAATTAGAGGCTAAGAGCCATATTCCGTATTATATACTCCCTCCGTCCCGCAATTAAGTTACCACTTTCCTTTTTGGGCAGTCTCTAAATTAAGTTCACACTTCCTTACTTTCCTTATTTGGCAAATTATCTACATCAAAACAGCGTCAAACAGTGAAAAACAGTGTCCAAACAGTGCAAAACAGGGTCCAAACAGTGCAAAACAGTGTCCAAACAGTGCAAAACAGTGCACTCCACAGTAAAGTCAATTTTATTTTCTTAATATGTGTGAAGTCAAACCGGGAACTTAATTGGGTGACGGACGGAGTATATAATGTTTATGTACTGAAGACTTGGAAATTTAATGACATGTGATGTACTGAAGACTTGGAAATTTAATTTTGATTCTAGCAAATTGCATCACCCAGTTTGAAAACTAGTTGTGATCACTTTAGAAGAACATACTACACACACATATATACACACATACACCGAGTACTTTCTAGGTCTAGCTTAGCCATAGCCCCGGTTAATCCTTACCTAGGCTAGGCCTCTAGAATAGTGTCTACGCCCATGACTGTGTAGCGCATTACTCTGCAATGACACTCTCCGAGGACAAAATTGAAAGGAAAACAGAATGCACAACAAAGAATATAAACAGAAAATGGCAATTAGTACTTGACGTTTGGTGGAAGAAGCAACTCTAGTCGACTCATCTCTGATCGTGATAAATTTATACCCAATAACCACCTGAAAATAAAAGATGAACATATCTTCATGTTGGAATCCATGAAATATAAAACGAAAAGCAGGTTGATAAAATATTCCATACTAACCTTCTTTTGAGCCTAAGATACTTCTCTTGCTTCTTCATTTGAAGTATCAAGGTTTTGAAATCCGCCACACCATGATTCTGTATCTTCTTCCCCATCTTTTTCAACTAATCCACAAAGTCTTAGCTAGGAGTGGGGACGGGTCAGGTAGGGTCAGATAATCTTAAACAAACAATAGGAACCGCCGGTTCCATTGACCAGGTAGGTTCAGGCCGGGTACATGAATTCTCAAAGTTGGAACCGGACCTTACCCGCTCATTTGAAACGGGTCTGCTCGGTCCGAGTTTTCGGGTATTAGTCATTGATTGAAGCACCAAAGTAGACATATGAGACGCGTAAAATTGTCATTTTTGGTTATATTTGTTGTATGTTATAACAAGTTATCAATAATCAATGAACTCAACTAGACAATAATGAGCCAAATAAATACTTTAAGTTGAAAACTAACTTTAATAGCACATAATTCAGCAGCCGTTTCGTGGTAAGACTTAATTAAACTCTAGGTTAAAAATTAACTCATCTATAAAGCTTTTGAATAGCAAGGGCCATTGACAATGGGAGAAGCAAGAATAGTAAATGTGTTAGACTATGAGTCACTTAGGAGTTAGGCAGTGTTGGTGTAACTCTAACTTCTAAGGAATAGCATATAGTTCAGCACTTCCTGCTATCCACCTCCTAGCCACCTGATGTTTTTCAATGAATGTATTCTTATAAGTTTTAGCATGACAGTTTTACAACTTTTATCCTATCAAGTATAAACCAAGCAATTAAAGCACAAGCTATAATAAATCAAAGTATCAAACAACAGGAATGGTTATAATTAGAGATAACAACTTCGTGATTTCATTGGTTCACTGGCTCGTCGCTGATATAGCTTAACAATCCGCTTGCTGTGGTTCAGTGCTTCGTAACTTCATAGTTCATATAATCAAAATCAAAGTGATTGATAAACAAAATAGGAGTTGAAATAATTAGATTTATAATATATAAACCTGGAATCGGGATATGGAAGCTAGAGCTTGGAAGCCGGTCGTCTCTTCGTCGGTGATCGACGGTCGTCTCTTCGTCAACGATCGACGCCGACGATAGTAGCTTCCTCTATGCGTCTAAGCTGGAAGGTGGAACAGGTGTCTCGCTTCTAGCCTTATACGGTGTCTTCGTTGACGGTCGACGGTCGTTCTTGACTATTCGTCAAAGATCGACGCCGTGGCGGTAGAGCTTCCTCTGCGTCGAAGCTGGAAGGCGGGAGCCGGAACCGGTGTTTGGCTTGTCTGCTTCTTCGAAGTAAACTACTCCGTATTATTAATCAAGTAGTAATATTTGCCATCTAAAAGCAAAAGGTTTTTTTTGCAATAGTACGGAGTACTCCCGCCCAAGGTTGTTCAAATCTATTTTTGAATCAAATCGTATTCTTGTGGTTCAGGGGATTCACGGAGGGCGGTCTATCTTACTTGGAATTACTTTTAGATGATATTAGGAGTGATTTAATGCTTAGCATGAATTTTATTGTTATATTTTGTAAGCGTTCTGCGAACCGGGTTGCACATGCTTTAGCTCAAGTGGCTGATACAGGGCCATAATGTAGTCATGATTATGATATAGTTCTAAGTTCCTCAATGCATTGTAAGCCAGTTGGCACATGACAATATTTCTTAATAAAGTTGATTAGTTTACCATAAAAAAAATCAAATCGGTAGATGTTTTTGAAAATCGAATCGTTAAATCGAAACGCAAATCGTAAGATTTTATTAAACATATCTTAATAATTACTACTTCTGTCTCGTTGGAAGGTTCCCATAACAAAACGGCACGGTTGTTTAGACAATAATTAAATAAAGTATTTCGAGTATTGATGGATGGTCTACCCGGGGGTATATATCCGAAGGGTTATTACGGGGAATAACTTAGAGAGAAGTCAGAGCGAGTAAGTAAATGTAGAGAGAGAGTGTATTCAGTATGAATGCCGTTTTCAGCGTGGTTACAAATGGGGAAATGGGGTGCTATTTATAGTAGCAATAAATGCCGGACAGGGACACGTGTCAAGCGCTCATTGGCCGAGGGGTCACCTCAACTGGTTGGCGCTGGCAGCCGCATGTGGCCGCATTTAATGCGGCTGTTGGATGGGACGCCTGTACAGGGTACGGTGATCTGTACGCATGTGAGGCGGATATCTTGTCGAGTGAGATGCCTTCGGCTATAGAGCAGTAGCTGAGGGCTCCTCCAACCGATGGCACCATGGTGCCGAGGGCTCACAGTGCCGAGGGCTACTGTTTTCGCCGTTTTCTCCCAGTTTCTTAGTTTGCTTGAGAAACCCGTTCTGTGAGAGTTTAGAGCCTTCGGCCAGGGGGCCGAAGGCACCCCTGGCGCGTAGTGCGGGCTGCTTGGTACTCTGGGCGCTGTGATTTGGGCCTGTTGGGCCTTCTGGGCCTGTTGGGCCTTCACTGGAGTAGTAGGAGTCTGTGGGCCGGGGGTTCCCGGGCCATATACTCCATCAAGTATATTTTGAGAAATAATTTCAATAGGAATATATTATAATGTAGTTAGTATTGATAACTGTGATGTTATAAACGTATTATTTTGAATATTTAATGATTAATTTGTCACTTAAAATTGTTAATTGTTTCCTCAAATGGAAATGAGAATCTTCTAACGGGACGTATAAATTATTTCATTACATATAAACTATTGAAAAATGGAGTGAATAATAATATTAAACATACCTGTAAGTTAATGGTATTATAAGGTTGAACCTAAAATGGAGTATAAAATAAATAAATATTAATATTAACCTGCAAGTTAATGGTATTATATCATTTCATTACATAAAAACTATACCTACAAGGTCCAAAACATGACTTATAAACTATTGTAATAATGTAAATGTAGTGAATAATAATATTAAACATATGTAAAAAATAAAAATAATTAAATAACACAAGAATCCATTACTTTTTTAAATATTATATTGATATTATTATTGTAATTATGTATCAATTTGTAGTAGTTAATTTTTATAAATTTGAACCATTTTCACTAAAAAAAACTTATTACGATTTTGCTACGATTTTGCTACAATTTCAAACGATTCTACACGATTTTTGTACGTTTTTTTACGATTTTACTTGCGATTCGAATCGATATATTAATGTAGAAGCGTAAAATCGTACGATTTTATGATTTAAATCTAGATTTTAGCAACCTTGCTCCCGCCTAAAATCTTGAACTAGAAGCAATTGTTCCAAAAGGTGGAATCTCCGGACTCAGGAGCCCTCACGCTCCGATCCGACAGGATTTTTGGGATGTAAGTCACGTTGACTCAGTGCGCACCAGAGATTTAGCCCAGCACACTGGAGTTGTAACCTCCACACGGCCGCTGCGGATTTCGACAAATTTCCTACCACTGAATCAACTGAGTTGCATGTGCGTGTCTGCGACTAGAAGCAAAAAGTTATAGAGGGTATGAATTAAGAAATCAAAAATAAAAGGGTTAATTGTATACCCTTGTTGCTATTGAAATATTTTAATTCATAATAAAATAATAAAAAATATTACTAAAAGTTGGTCACTTAGCACAAATAGGATAAAAAAGTAAAGTATGTTTTGATAGAACTAATTATGTGTGTGTTGGACAAATATACCCTTGTTGCTATTGAAATATTTTAATTCATAATAAAATAATAAAAAATAATTCGTAAAAAATACTAAAAAATTAATAAAAATATTTACATAACAATAATTACAAAATTAAAAAATTTAAAAAAATTAAAAAAAATACAAAAAATGCAAAAACAAATAGCACTGCCGCCTCTACCGCCCCAACACCACTACCTTCAATCAACAGGGGGAAAATGTCTCATCCATTACGAATGTCATATTTATGGCAGATTCAAATGAAAGTGTTGGCATTCTCAAAGAGTAATATGTCATTTGTTTTTGCATTTTCAGGAAAATAAAACGGCAGTTTTTAGGAAAAATAGCATTTTTTACTACAGTCGGAGGTGATGGTGCAGGGAGGCAGTGGGAAAGGCATCCATACTTTTTTAATGTTTTTTGGATGTGGAGTTTTATTACTTTTTATTATTTTTTTTTTTAAATTAAAATTAAAAAATAATTTAAAAAAAAACTAAAAAATGCTACAAAAAAAGCACCTCTACCACCCCAGCACCACCATTTGCGGTCACCGGGGGAAAACAATTTTGCATGCATTAGGAATGCCATATTTATGGCAGATTCAATGAAAATTTTGGCATTCTGAAAGAGTAATATGTCACTTTTTTGCATTTTCATAAAAAATTGCATTTTTACACCGGTCTGAGGTGGTGATGCAGGGAGGCAGTACAGGGAGTGAGAAAGCTATCCATATTTTTTTAAATTTTTTTATGGATTTTTACTATTTTTTATTAATTTTTAAAAATATAAAAAAATTGATTTTTTATTTTATAAATATTTTATTAATTTTCTATATTATTCTTCTACGATTATTATTGTTTTTTACAAATTTATATGAATTAAAACAATTAATTATGATTTTTTACTACCTTTTACTCATATTTAAAGGAGTGGTAAGAATGGAATGAAAAAATAGGTATGTTTCCAATAGGACTAATATGGTCCTATTTTGGAATAAAAACATAACAAGTTCTATCTTGGAGCTTTGCGATGACAGCGACGGCGCAAGGAACATGCGACGATCGGTGATCGGCGCTGGGCTTTACGAAGGAGGTCCGTAGTTATTCCCTTTACGGCAGGTTAGGTAACTTTGTTTTGTTTGCAATTTCGTCCAAGGTTTTCTTTTTCCGGGCGTTTTGTTCCGCGGTTTTGTCCGGCTTGATTTGGCCGAGAGTTTGCTGTGTTGTTTTATGTTTCGTTTGGTTTTTCGAACTTCTGTTGTTGTGACTTAAGTGCTTCGCCGTGAGGCTTGTGTTTTTCTATATTTCCAATTTGTTTGAGTCGGATACTCTTGATTTGGGTTGAAATGGATATGATCTCGAAGAAGGTCAATATGCTATCCATAACTGAGAAAGAAAATAGGGGGTTGGTGATTGTGTCTGGCCCGTTATAGAATGGGGGAGGGAATACATAGGGCTTTAATCTAGCGGTGGTGACCAGAGTGGTGTCTGATAAACCTGTTCGGCCTGTTTCTTTCTGTCAAACAATGGCTATGGTTTGGAGGCCAGTGAAAGGGGTCTCTATTGATGAAATTGAGGGCTCCAAATTTTTGTTACAATTTTATCATGAAGGAGATCTGAACAGAGTGGTGGATGAAGGGTCTTGGTCTTTTGAGCAGAATTTAGTGGTTATTCGACTGTTGGAACGCACTGATAAACCTCTGGAGGTTGCACTGGATCATGCAGATTTTTGGGTTCAGGTTCATGAGCTACCACTAAGCTGCATGATGACAAAGACTGCACGTGGTATAGCCAACAGTATTGGTGCTTTTGTGCAACTGGACGAGAACTCCCCTGGCGGAAAGCAAAGGTTGATTATGCGCATAAGGGTCACTTTGAATGTTAATTTGACTCTAACCCGGCGGTTACAGGTTAGACAGGAGGGAGACGACTGGATTTAGGCAAACTTTAAATATGAGAGACTCCCGAACTTATGCTTTCTGTGTGGGATCCTTGGCCACATTGATCGTTTTTGTCCCACTAACCCGCATAGCGGTTTGGGGATCGGGGAGAAACCTTATGACCATGGCTAAGGGCCAATATGAGGCGGGGAGGAGTTCACCTGGGAAACGAATGGTTTATTCCTAGCAATATCATACTAGGCGAAAGGCAGAGGAAAATAGTAGGATCTGGTCAAGAGACAGGGGAACAGAAAAACTATTTGGTGGAGGGACTCTTGTCAAAGGGTAAAGAGATTACTACAACTGGGGATGCGCCCAGAAAGCGTAGGATCATTGAAAAGGATAGCGAGATGGGGACACAGGCAAGCATGGATGTTGATGAAGCATCTTCAAAAAACTTGGAGGTGGCGGTAGTGCCAGGACAGCACCGCCAGTAGCGGGGGAAGATGGGGTTCTGAAGGTTGTTCCTTTAGCGGAGGCTGGTCAAACCGCTATTCCGTTACCAGTGGCTGGTCAAACTAGATTATGTTATTTTTCTGTTTTTTTATCAGTTCCGAACTCGGTTTTGTTATTTCATTATCCTTCTAGTAGCAGGTACAACGTTGCTGTTTATGGAGTCTACCAAACTGCGGCGTTAGCGAGATGGTCCGCTAGTCCACTGGTTCTCAATAATATTAATAATTAAGTTATGTGTTTTCAAAACAAAAATCCTATTTTAAAGTAATTTCTAAAAATAAAAGAGAAATAAACTGCCTATTGCCTCCCTTAAAACGTGCCAGACATGTCAATCCAAAGTAAATCAAATTTACTCCTCGAGACATGTGCTACCCTGCATTTTTTATACATCAACTCAAAGACTCCGTATAATACTCCATTTACTTATAATTGT